TTACTAACTAAATGACAATCTTATTAAATTGAAAGATATGTTTGTGTGAAGTATATTAATGGAAAGAAGTATTTCATTTTGTTCTTCCATTTAGTTTGGGTTAGGATAGGAACGACGAGTCTCGCGGAATCATGAGACTCTAAATCATTGTGAATCGTGAGGCTCTAAATTATTGCGATGTGCTTCACTTCGAGTTTCCTTTTTGAACTCGCATCTTGGACTTTGATTAGTTGATGTTGAATGGGGATGCCAAAACGAAACAAGACAGAAAACAAAGTCTTGTTTCGAACGACAAAATATCACTACCGGGAATCATTGTGACCGACTTATGGGAGACTTAGCATTATTGGAAATGATCCATTCCCTAATCGTTGAATTGTTGTCTTCTTTCTTTTCTTTTTTTTTAATTTAAATTTAGGCTTCCAAGTGATAGTAGAGAGAGTAGATTATAAATTAGTCTCTTTAGTTTTTGAAAGGGATTAAATAATTCTTCTAGTTTCAATAACTAATTAATTAGTCTCTACGAGTTTAAAATCTATGTGCAACTTAAAAAATTTTATTCTTTTTGAATTTATTTTATTTTTTATAAATTAAAAAAATAAGTAAAAAAATAAAAAAAAATTGATGAGGAAAAAAAAAGAATTTTTTAGAAAAGAATAATATTAAAATTAACGATGATCTACAAAAGAATCGACGTGTCGCCCGATGTTTGAATCGATGATCGTTTCAATACGATGCCACGCTCAAAACTAAAAACATTCAATTTGTTTAAAAAATGAGAGATTAAGAGTCGAGAAAATAATTTGACATTTTAGGAGATAAATTTAGAACTAAAACCGGACGTGGTACCTTTCTTCGGAAAGGGCACTTTTGGGTGATCGACATCTTTCCAAAAGCGTAACCAACTCCTTACCATAGAATCTACGAACCGATTGTCCGTTTTAGGTTCGTAGTTCCTTCAATACTAGGTGGCGACTCCAAAATCTGTAAATAAACTTGTAAATATTCAATCTAATTTTAGATATTTTCGAGGAGTCCGTCCGAGCGTCGGGTAGCGACGGAATGGCGACTCCGTCGGGGACTAGAGTTAGGCCATAGGTTTAGTTTTTAATTTATCTCCCATGTTTATTTTTTGTCATTTTATTTTCTGAATTTTATTTATTTATTTATTTGTGTATATATTTAAATTTCTGTCATTTATTTCTTTTTCTTTTTCTTGTACGTTTATTTTGAATTGGGTTGAATGCTTTTTCTTTTAAGCTGTTGCACACACCACGAAGGAAATCCCTAAAAGCTCTAGACCGAGCTGAACCCTAATAGGAATTAGATAGAAGGATTTAGAGGCGAGTATGACGAAAGTCTACCGATGCTCTTCCAAACTCTTGTTTAGATCGAAACTCACCCTATACATTGGAAATGGTGGAATACTCTTCCCCTACCTCCTAATGTATAAGGTTAGAGGCTAGATTACCTCACTGGTAATTAAGGCGGTCTAGAGGCTTGAAAAGTCTTTAGGACTAGTCGAGCTTTGCCCAACCATAGAAAAGCTAGATCTTGTCTACTAGGGTTGACCCAATTAAGACACGAATTCATTGTCAAATGATGTTGAAACTAACCTTTGATATTCCAAGGGTATTTTTATAATTTTCAATAAAGGTTATCCTTCGTATTAAATCATGATCGAAGAAGTCAAAAACAAGGTCGAGGATTTTAGATCGGATTTGAGCGAGCTCGAAATGATGAAAGAGATTGTATGCCCTTGAATTTCGTGTTGAGACTACGAAAAAAAGAAGGGATTTTACCCTTCGTGTGCTTATAATAGGAGTGGCTTCATCATTTCAAAGTCAAGTCACCGTTGAGATTGGGGGCATATATATCTCCCTAATCGCCCAAGTATACGTAGGGTAATTTTGCCCTCGGCGAGTACTAGTTCGGTCTAATCCATCATCGACAAGATTCTATCATGATTTAATTTGCAACAAATAGAAAAAATGTATCCAACCCGGTTCAAAATCATACATTTGCATTAAGTATTTATTTGTATATATTTCTTTTGCATTACCGAGTGAAGTAAACATAGGTCGCTCCACTTAATCCCCTCGGCGTATCTACGAAACTCGACTTCGGGCTCGCCAAATGGAAAATGAAGAAAGACCGCGACAAGAGCTAATTAGCCAACAAGAGTTTGACTCGTTGAAAGAAAGTGTGGCTTGAATGACTTCCCTGTTAGAGAAAGCATTAAGAGGAGGAGGTAGCTTGAATCAAGGACAACCCGAAGTACGGCAAGTTGTTCCATCACCTCATCGGTCGGGGCATTCCAATCATGTAACTTTTCGAGTCGAAGGTTCACACCCTATCGGAACATTTGCTTACCCCATGGACTCGAGAGTCCCGCAAATGCCTGCGATCGATCCTGCAGAAGAGGAAACTCACGGTTATAGGGTGGATGAAGGTCCAAGTATAGACGGACTCATGGCATTAGAAGAACGCCTAAGGGTGATAAAGGGGGAAGATGTCTACGATCTTGTCAAAGCTGCTCGAAATGTGTCTAGTGCACGATGTGGTAATCCCGAAGAAGTTTAAGGTGCCGGATTTTGCTAAATATACTGGAACCCGGTGTCCTATGACCCACTTAAGGGTATATTGCAGCAAGATGACGAGATGTTGTTCACAATGAAAAACTACTCATACATTTTTTTCATGAGAGCTTAAGCGGATCGACATTGAGTTGGTATATGAGGTTAGAGGGGTCTAAGATCGAGAGGATGGAAAGATCTAGGCGATGCTTTTCTCAAGCAATACAAGTTTAACATGGAAGTAGGTCCGAATCGTTCGGATCTTCAAAGTATGGAAAAAAGAGCTAAAGAGACCGTTAAGGAGTACGCGCAAAGGTGGCACGAGGTAGCGGCTCAAATCCATCCACCATTACCGAATATGAGTTAATTTCGATATTTTCGAATACTTTCAAAGCACCCTACTTTGAGTATTTGATTGGTAATGTTTCAACCAACTTTACCGATATTGTCATCATAGGCGAGAGGGTGGAGCGGGCAATTAAAGCTGGAAAGATTTCGAAAAGACAAAAGGCGATGGTAACAAGAGAACGGATGAGGAGATACATCGAGTTGGGACTCGGATCTTATCCATCCAAAAATTGGAGGAGTAACCAAGGAAAGCATAAAAATCATGATAGCTACAACCAAAGACCTTCATTCACCCATTATACCCCCAACCCAACAAACACCATGAACCAAACATACCTATCAAATCAATCGAATCCATCTTATACACCTCACCAAACTTACCAAGTAAACCAATTCTCTCAAGCTACTACATATTTTCAAAGTCCACCAATTCACAACTAAGACCGATGTTTGAAATTAACCATGGTCAATAATGATTAAGAAACTAGTTAATTTTTTTTGAAACAATAGAAACTATTTTATTTATTTGGCAAAACTAGATGGACTAATTTATAGTTTATTCTATAGTGGAAAAAAAAAAGTGTGTATGGTAATTAAAAAAGTATGCTCATTTATGTGGCTTTGTGGGTTTAAATCTTAAGACCAACATCAAAATTTTCTTTATTAAATTCTTCTAAACACATCCGATTAATGTGAATAATACATTTTTAAGATCATTCGGGGAAAAAAAAAAACTTAGTGTCGATTTATCGTGTGACCTAATACATGATTTTTTTTTTTTAACTGCATAGAATTTTTTAAAAAAAATAAAAATAAAAGATGAAGAGGCACCACTCTTCACGTTTTGGATGGCAAGGCAAACATATAACACTAGTCTAGCCCTAATTACATATGCATAAAAGAAGGGCCCAATACCCAATTTGTTAAAAGATCTATAGGAAGCCAGCACCCAATCAAACCCAGCCCACTTCTGACTGACACGATCAGCAATGAAGCCCACACTTGAATATCCAGTAAATTATAAATTAGTCCCTCTTATTTAGAGAAATAAATTAATTAATCTATTTTCTTTTAAAAAATAATTAACCCTTTATGCTTTAATTTCATCAATAACTTAATTATTTCATCAGTTTTTTATTAGATTAATAATTTTTATTTCAAAATTGCCTTTCTTTTGATTTTTGGTTGAAGATAGAGAAAAAAATAGGTGAAAAAGAAAAATAAAACATTAAAAACTCACTAATCTAACCAAAAAAAAAATTTTTAAATAAATTATTGAAAAAATTAAAACATAAAAATTAAATGATTAATTTTTAAAAGAAAAAGGTACTAAATTAATTCCTTTCTCAAAACAAAAAGAACTAGCATATAATTTGCTACTGTAATATCTCATTAATGCATTTGTTTTTCTTACTACCTGAAGAAAAAAAAATTCAACTTGGAGTAAATTATAAATTAATCCGCATAGTTTTGAGAAACAAATATAAAATTCCTTTTGTTTTAAAACTAATTATTCAATCATTTTTATCCATTTTATGTTATTTTCTAATTTAAAAAAATAAATACATATTATGGAATGATTGACAAAAGATTGAGAGAAAATAAGATATTTTTTGAAATAAAATAATGTTAAATTAAACATGATCAATACAAGTCAATGAACCAAGTAATTAGTTTTTGAAATAAGGAAAATTAATTATTTTGTTTCTTGAAACTAGGGGGACTAATTTGTAATTTACTAATTCAACTTGCATTCAGGGGAAAAAAGAATGAAAGAAAAGAAATATACATCTCACTCAAAGCCAATATACAACAATCAGCAACAAACGTCACTGTATTTGAAAGTCTGCTATCACTAAAGAAAAAGGAGCTACACCAAGCCAAGGTATAGTAGGTTTAAAAGCAAGAACGATTCAGAAACTGCTACCATCCTTGCCATTTTCGAAAGGTCATGTCAGTTGCGAGGGGATGCAACCTATTTACGTTAGCATCATTTGGAACCTAACATTAATTTCGTATTGAATTTCCCAGATACAGGCAGACTTGAGGTGCAGTTAGTATTAACAGCCATCATCATCAACGTGAAGTTTTGTCGGGCAGAAAAAGGTAACGGAAATGAGACTCGAAGGGAAGAATGCCACAATTTCGCGAACCAAGAAGGCTTTGCCGCCTTTGTGATATGCATTGTTCTACAAATGCAGCCTGATTGGGTGGAAGGTAATGCGATATCCATACAGCCAAATTTGCATCATCGACAAAGCCTTTGGCGAAGCAGTGGAGCATTTTCGGCACCAATAGCTTCCCTTTGTTGCTAACTCCAACTGAAGCTCGAATGAAATCATGCTGAGCTTCTTGAAGTTCTTCTCTCACATTCTTAGCAGTGAACACCCTTACCTGCATTTTACATTCAACAGAATATCGTCCAAATATAACTACATATACATGACAAACACTACCTCTGAATGGTAAAAGTACTTCAACAATATATAGCACTTGAAGTATTCTTACCGCTGGGGATGAGTACATTCCACAGCTTAGGGCAAATGCTACTAGAGGGTCATGTGCATCAACTGCAGACTTCCGCTGTTCCTCTGATAGCCTCAACTTGTGAAGGGCAAGAAGCAAAGCCTGACAATTGCATTGAGTAGAAATGTTAACCAGGGTATGAAGTTCAAGATGTGAACAAAAACAAAGAACAACTTGTTGATAAGATAAAAACATGCCGTACAATCTGTGGCCTGTGGAGAGGCGATTTCATCTTCAAAATCACATACTCAATGGCAGCTGCACTAAAATAATGTCCTCCCACGGTGTATGCAGCCTGGGAAATTGAAGCCGAATCACATCAATGACACTCATCAAGTGCAAAAACCAGCAAACAATCAATCAAACATGTTACAATATATTTCTCCACTTATTTACCAGAATTTGCTGAGAAGAACAAATCTACTAGACATTGATTTAGTTTATTCAAGGGTATAATCAGGAACTTCTTTGTCAAGAAAGTAATCAAATTGTAAAGAATATCTCTATGTTTGGTGTGGAGATTTATCAAACTCAATTATGTGTCATGATCCAGATAACTACATGAATTCATTGCCTTTTAATACCATATCAGATGCTTGTGAGAGACTTTGTCTGTTACAACAGCAGTTCCTAACAAGAGCAATAATCTATTTTATCCTATTACAGTTACTGGAAACCCGAGGCCACTTGCAACACCCTATTATAATGCTGACTACTTTGTGCCTTTGAATTACATATGATGATGACAAGAAACTACGCTCTACAGCAAATTACTGAGGGGGAAAGGAAAAAACATAGATGATTTAGTCAAGAATCAAACCTTTTGCATCAATGAGAAGAGCTTCAAGTCACTCCTTGGGACTCCATATGCCAAGTACGCCTATTTAACAGTAGACATTTAAGAACATATCTTTAAACAAGTTATGAAACAGCCCACATCGCACAATGTAATGTTAGTACATTACACATGTGATAGAAGTGAAGACACTCACATGCATAATCAAAGCATTGTACAGATTGATCCAGAAAGCAAGCTTCTCATTGCAGCTCAAATGGATAGGGTTCACTCTGGCGAGTTGCTCAACAAGTGTTCTGTTCCCCAAATTTCAAAAAAGAAAACCAAAACAAAATTCAGGAGATCTAGTCCCACATAAACACTCAAACATTCAAGTAAGAAAAGAAATAATATATCAAAGTAATGGGAGCATAAGCTTATTAGAATCAGAGCATTCTATGATTGTAGGCTGGTTTGATTTCAACTTACAAAATGAAATCCAAAGCTCAAACTAATGCCTCCATCAAATAGCTTAAAACTCTAGAACAATCTTCATTAACTATCATTAGCTTAAATAAATATACCTCCTTAATGAAGTCAAATATACCTGAACTTCCTTAATGCCCCTGAGGCATATTCTAATTGCTTCTTTCCAACTGACATCCAAGAAACTTCATTTGCTAAACCATAGTTTCCAATGTCCACCCAACTCAACTTGCCCCGCACTTTGTAGGGATCAAAGACATTGTCCAAGGCCAACACTTCAGAGTTACTTTGTATATCAACCTGGGGGCTCTGTACCCATGATGAAATCATTGAGCGCTCAGATGATGACCACCATGATGAATTGGATAGATGTCCACTCGGTGACACAGGAGAGGATTGGCTCTCCAATGCAGAGGATGTGGATGGTGTAGCAGACTCTGCCAGTGACATGAAAATATTTTTCATACATATTACCATCTCCTCTGAAAGTTGATTAGGGTAATCCCAAAGGCCATTAGGCGACATTCCTTTTGGAAGCCTCATGAGCTCTGCAGGTTGAGTGGGTTTGGCATCTGTCTGCATAGATACTTTCTTCTCATTGAAAACCTCTGTCACCTTCGTTGAATTCTGATCCAAGTACCACAAATCAAATGCCTAATACTATGAATAGAAATTTCTGGAAGGATTTATAATTATTCATCTATTAGTACAAGTATAGAATGGAAACATATATTAGAGGTAAGTGAGTTTTGGAGGGGGAAGGGGGAGGAAGAGCATATCCATGCAAGAGATGAATTATAGAATGATCAGCACTACAACCTTAAATTGTCCAAGAACTGTTCAGAAAGACTTTGATTATCTATAGGTTCAGGAGCTTTGATTGTCAAACACCATCTGAACTCAACAATTTGCTTAATGGTTACAAACCGTGACTCGAATCCCTCATTTATGTTTAGACTAACCCATTTTCTTAGCTGGTGTATGTGCAAGTGATTTTAGCTTTTCAAAGTGAGAAAATAACTTCCACCGCAGATGCATCTAAATCATGTTACCATATCTGCCAGAATACAAGTTGCACATGCTCACTTAAAGCTAGTCTTATGTCACGTATGGGTGAAAATACTCATGGAACAGTTTTGCCTCTTTATCAACAAAATACATAGACCAAAACAGTCATCACAGACTGAGAAACGAGGTAACTGACTACTTAAAGGTTCAAGTACTATACCATAGCTGTCACAGTAACATAAATCGAAAAGATCTACAGGCAAAGGGAAACCAGCAGATACCTCCATTAAAGACTGAGCAGTAGATGTTTCACTGGTAAATTCAGATGATTGGTCTTTACATGAGTTATTCTCCTCTGGTTGGTGCAGTTCATAATCTGAATGCTTGAGACTCCTCAAAGAAGAAGAAATCTGGAAAATTATACAAGAGTTACATTGCAGGAAATTTCCCATTTAAAGGTTAGCATGCCACATTTTAATATAAATATTTCAAAAAACATATTTATTTAAGATATGAATGCTTAGCTAAATCAAAATACATGCAAGTTCCAAAATTCTTATATAAAGTACAAGTATACTCATACAGGCAATGGAAAATTACTCTAATGACAATTATAAAATTTATTGATAAGAGAAAAAAGTCATTGCCTCATTGAAACAAATTGAAAAACTAGATGTTCATGGGTGCATGACAATGATAGAATGACCCTGACAGCGAATGGGGTTTACATGAAGATGTTGGCACAATGTGAAAGATAACAAACCTTCATCTAATAAGGAAGAAGCAAATAAATTTCTTTACTCAGGAGAAACCATGTATGAAAAGAAACATAATAAGTACCGGTGCTTTCATGCTCTCTGAAGAGTAAGCAGATATTGATTGAGAAGCTGACTGCCTCAAACGATATTCAGCAAGCCTTCGCTCATTTCTCTCTTGACTTATTTGGAAATGCAAAGAAACGATCTCTTGTTCAAGCTTTGAAACTGTGACCTCCAGTACTGCAATAGTAGACAGAAGCCCCTGAGCCTGTTCAAACAAAACAAAGAGGATTTTATAATAAGTTAAACCCCAGGAAATTTGAGCTTTACAATTCACAATAGTGTCAAATATGGATAGGATGTGTTAAACTACGAAAAGAGACTGCCACATATGTTTGATATCGCTTGACATCAAAAATTAACATGGCACGGAGAAATATTATGATATAAAGAGAAGAATTCTAAGAAGCATTTAACCACAATTGTTCACCTGATAGCTCAGCAGCATATGATAATGCACATATAAAAGTGACCTTAGAAAGAAAGCAACGTACATGATATGGGAGGCATGATGGACTAGATAATTTTACAGTATTTTTCTCAATAGCATTTTCCAGAATAGCATGCATTTCCATCTCTTTTTGCAACTGCTGTTGTAATCTCTGTACCTGTTATAAAAGCACATCCATAAGGGTATGGTAACTACAATCCAACAGAAACTAAATAAATTCCTATGCTCAGTACCAGGAAACTGTTTCTATGTAACCATCAAAGAGATCAGATACAATATGATGCAGTAAGATGCTTTCTCACTTCAATTTTAGTCACTGTATGAAAACGAAGAGGCAATTGAAGACAGCAAGCAGATACCAATTCAAAGTATGATACCTCACTTAACAAACAGAGTACAACAAGGAGAGTGGTGAGCCAGCATTTTCCATTTCTACCAGAAATGGACCGCTAAGCGGTCATGATATGTTGCAGTTTATCTTTTATATATGTTCTTCTCAACAATTCACATGGACTGCAAAAAGAGCTATCTAGAGTGCACTTTGGCAGACAACACACCAAATCATTTGAAAAATTCACTCTTTAGACTTTCAACGCTTCAAACACAACATAAAGCAAAATCTCAATCCTACAGGGCCACCACAATTTTCTATTATTGCTATCTTATTTCCTTGTCACGAGGGCAGAACTTAAATGTCATCAACTGTTATTTCTCAAAAGCCATCAATGCAGTTGCAGAATGATCCCCTGCCTTCTTAAACAAGCACCGGTTTTGAAGTAGCAAGCATCCTCTAAGCATACTTGACACAACCATCACAGAGTCACGTTTGTACAAAGTAATAATACAGACAAAACTTCAATGTGAAATCCCTATAGCAAAGCCTCTAGTAAACTGTTGGAACTGTAAGGTACTACCCAGCTGAATCACTACAAGGGAGTTTTTGTCGGCTAGCAATTACAAGGCCCTTGCCAGCTATGTTTCTGCTTAAGGGGTCATGAGAGAATCAATTTCTAATTTCGCGACAGTTCAATCCTTCAATGGTTTTTATCAAATGTCTACTCTCAGGACATGAACCTGCAAGTTTGTGGTTAAATGCCCAAGAATATTATCACTGCATCGGGAACAATGAAGCACTGGAAAAAATAAGACTATATAAGTACTATATGCTGCAACAATGAAAAAGTCTCTTGCTTTAGGTGCTGCAGAGCGTGGAACTGGCTCAACTCATGGTCCTTCAAATATCTAGTTTATACCATCCATCAAAGTCATACATAGCACAGATAATGCTCTTTTTCACATTTTCCCGATGCATCCTATTTTATTTCTGTATTAAATTATTGACACCAGCTCGAAAGAATCTCAACTTGTTTTGTATAACAACAGCACTTCAGATCTATCATCAACACTCTTCGCACGTTAAAGCATGAATGTGAAAACCAGTGTTTAGATGTTTCATTTTCATAGAATCCCTTAGCTTTATATTCAAATCCATAAGAAATGAGAGGCAGATACCAAAACTCAACAAAAACAACAGCATGACTGTGAGGCTTCCAGGAAGAGAGAGCTTACATCCTGTTCAAGTTCGATTCTATAAGGATAAGGATTGCTGCTCTTGATGCACGATGCAAAACTTCCAACCTCTTCATTAACATTGTTCACCTGAAAATCATCAAAATCCACATTAATTGCATTTTTGAACAACAGATTACATGAATGAGCAACCAATCCTCCCGAATGTGGAGCAGTTAAAGCTGCATTCTAGTTCACCATTTTGTTGTATCAGCATCGATTAAAGCCAAACAATAGAATCCAATCCTTCTTCCAGTACTGACCTCCAATGAGGAGCTGGGGCTCCAAACTTCATCTGCAAGATCTAGTTGAGTTTTTGAATTATCATATGTCACCTTAGAATGCAGAATTTTACACGTAGAATCACTTCTGCAGATATTGCCAGTAAAAAGTAGAAGAAAGCATTAGAAGTGAGCATTAAAGCAGGGCTCCAATTATAGCCGGAGAAATGAACTAGATAGCAAAAAGGGAAAAAAAGATCTTACTGGCTGAGCATAACTGCAGAGTCACACATCCTCCGATCACAGGGCTTGGCACATTCTAAAATCCCCTAAGCATCTTGGCTTCTGTACGCAGAAAGAAGTTATGCCATGTACAAACAAGTATCATAAAAACTTACAGATCCACGCTAAGAAAAAGGAGTTGAACATTAAAGTGGGAATCTGAAAGGATTTTTGTCGACATGAACAATCTTAGGATAACGTAAAAGACGAAGGAACAATAAGATGCAGATTTAGAGAGAACACTGTGCAACCTGTGAACATATAATGAGGACAAAAAAACTCATGAATGCCACAGCTACCAGTCGTTTTCAACACATCCAAACAAAAACAATTAACGCAAGTGTGAGCTAGAGCAGCTTCTGGTTCTATCGAAAGACCCTACCAATACAACTTGAAAAGGAAAAGGCCATAAAAAGAGAAACGAAAAATAAAAAAAAAGAGCAAGGAACAGTGCATGTGTGAGTGGTGAATTTCTTTCACAAAACCATTTGCATTTTTTTTCACCACATCAAAATCAGAGCAGAGGAAAAAGGCAGTAAATTCTGTAACTTATGACGGAATGATTGGCTCCAAAAAGAGGAATGACAATCTAAAAAATCAAAGTAAAGGAGTTAAAAAAAGAAAAGCAAAACAGTTCCACTCGGAGGAAAAGTAGAAGGGAAAGTGGGGTACCTCCCTAACACTCATGGAAGACAAAAGTTGTTTCCTTTGCGAGTGAGAAGTACAGCATTCCACAAACAACATTACCTCAAAAAGCTTTCAATAAAGTTGAGTCACTCTTTGATTGTTCGTTTTGGTTCATTCCAATTCTTGATCTAAAAGAAATTGATGATGGGTCAAAAACATTGGGATTTGAATTTAAAAAGAAAAGGAGAGGGGAGGAGGGCAAGAAGCAGCAAGTCAAAAAGAAGCCCTCAACCATTGGACTAGTGGCGTGGAGGGGCTTTTGGTGTTCAAAAGGTTCCAATGTATAGGACAATGATAAAGTGAGTCAATCAAGCAAAAGAACAATCTAAAGGACGGATTAATAGCAGTGGTCCCTCTCTCTCTCTTTTCCAGTTTTCACAAAAAGGAGGTATTTTTCTCTCCTCCCCTCTCCCCCGACTGAGTCTATTCAACCCGAGAAACAAACAGAAGAAAACAACAGGATAGAGACCCATTTTCAGATTTCAAATATTCCAAATCCAAATAGACAGAGAGAGATGCATGCATGAATGTAATTCAAAAGGAGAGAGTTATACCTTGAAGAAATGAAGATTAATGATGATGATGATGATGATGATGAAGGGGCACTGAAAGATCCATTAGCTTTTCTTGAAAAGGCAAAAATTTAAAGTCCAAACTTGAAATGCTTCTCTTAACCTGGGAAGAAAGTCAGAAACTTGCAAAAGAAATGTATGCTACTAGCATAGCAGCAGCACTGCCTCTCTCTCTTTCTTACTGTTTGACTGAAAGGAAATTCAAAAATCTTTGATTTCTTTCACTAAAAAATGGGACCAAATACAAAAGAAGACAAAGATACAGTTGAGCTACTAGCCATTGCCCATTAGCCAAGCAAGGAATCGTTTTTAATTTTTTTTCAAAAATCAGCGAAGAGAGAGAGAGTAAATTATAAATTATTCTCTATAGTTCTAAGAAACGATCAATTAGTTCTTTTTTCAAAAAAATAGTTATTTAGTCCCTGTATTTTTAATTTTTCTTGCCAATTAATCCTTTTTGTTGTTTTTAATTTTTTTATTTTAAGAAATATAAAAAAAGAATATAATAAAATATATGAAAGTATTGATAAAAAATAATATTTTTTAAAATAAAATAATATTAAATTATGATTGATCAATATTAGTTAAAAAATTAAAAAAAATAATTTTTTAAAAACAAGGGGATTAATTAATTATCTTTTGAAAATAGAGGGCTTAATTTATAATTTACTCAGAACAGAGAGAGAGAGAGAATCTAGTTAAAAAATAAATTATATGAAACTCTCTGACCAAAAATAAAATGTTTTGGTTAAGACATATTTATTTATTTACGCTATTAGTATAAAATAAGTAGAGTATAAGAAGAGAACAAAAGAGTTGGTGTGGCAGGCCTTTGTGTATGTTTGTACGTACAGTAATTAAAGTAAATGTATATTCATTTTTTTATACGTGCTTTTGTCATTTTTTAGACAAAAATATCCTACAAGCTATGAAAAATAAAATTTAATTTTTAATATATAAAAATAAATTATTAATTAAAAAAATTTTAAAAAAATCAAGAAAGTATAAATAAAAAAATCTAGAAACATAAAAGCTTGGAACATCCCAAAAAAATTAAATAACCCATAAAAATATATATATAAAAATAGGAAACTAATAAAAATTTTAAAATTTTGTCTTTTACAAAAATTATTTTATTGGCATATACATATATCTATTATGAGGTTTTTATGGATATGATTTTCTTATTTTATAGATTTTACAAGTTGGTTTTAATTTTATACTTTTTTAGGGTTTTTTTTATAAGGCTTTCAAGTTTTTTTAAAATTTAAATTTTTTTCTTTTTTTAAATAAATTTTTTTATAATAATATATAAGAGTGGATGGATCAACTCACCCGTAAATTTATGAGTAATTTTTTCGAAATTTTATTCAAAAAATAATTTCCCTATATCCATGCAAAATGCATGTTTGAATGAATATCGTGCAATGAAACAAATATATTGTTTGGGAAAACACAATAAAATGCAAAAACAAAATACATAATTATTGTTCTGTGTAACAGCGAAAAAAATTTTAGTGTTCATTCACATAATTATTAGTAATTGGTTAACACTAAAGGACTAGAGTACTGATGATAGCAAGGAGTGATGGATCGGAATTTTATGGGAATTCAATTTTTATTCTTCAAAAAAAATTTCACATATAAATACTGAAAAAAAAATCAGAAGACTAAAATTAGAAAGGTAAAAATCAGGTGATTATTAATCATTTTCTCCTTTTTTTTTCTTTTTTGTTTTTGAGAGGCAAAAAATGGGGTGATAACAATTATATGTCCTTTTATTTTTATTGTATTTTTTAATTTTAATATATTTTTTAAAAAATATTTTTTTTATTTATGCAACACACTCTAACCCACTATGTATAATCATGATGTATAAAAAAAATTAGAATCAATGATTTTATTAAAAATTAACTATATATCTACATACATAATATCAAATATTTACAGTTATTTTTTAATATTTTAAAATTATTTTTTCATATAAAATAATTAAAATAATGTTTCAGAAGAATTACCTAATAATTCAAATAGAATTTTTTATACTAATATTAATCATTATTTTGTAAATTAATATATATAAATCAAATGTACATATTTTTTAATAAAAAAAAAAATTCTTCTCATCGAATTAAACAAGAATAAAAAAAATTCATTGTTAATTTTTATACAAATTTTTATATTAATTATTGTTTTATTTATTCGATACAATGTTACAAAAAAAATATTAATGCATTTTTTTAATTTTTATATTTATATTATTACATTTTAAAAAAATAAATACATAAAAAAAATCATTTTTTTAATTATAAAATTTATTAAAAATAGATATAAATTTTTTATTAAAAATTATAAAATTATATTTTTTTATTTTTAATTTAATATATTTTAATTGATTAATAATATATATATTAAAATAAATATATTTAATTCTATTAGCGACGCAAGGCAACCCTCTAGTTTGAGCTAAAAGAACCATTAAGGCTGAGGCATCTATCCACATGTTGCCCCGCCGGCATAACCTCACGTGGAGCCAATGCTTCAAACCACACAAAAACTTAAAAGCTAAAAATTGAATGATTGACGATCAGACTCACGAGTCACCTCAATATCTGCTGTTATGCTGTTCTTGGCAGCAAAATTGATCATCTCGTGTGTTTCCTTCATTCCTCCCATACAACTACCACCTACTATCTTCCTTCCTGTTAAGCCATAACACGGTAGTCATCATTGTTAGCGATTAATATATATTTATTTGACGCCCCATGCATGAGTAGAATGCCACAATAAATTAGAATATATGTTGAGATGTGCAAATATCCGAACCCATGAGCAGAGGAAACACCGGTAGCTCAAGCGGCTTCTGAGGTGCACCAATCAAAACCAGCTTTCCTTGAGTTTTCAATAGACCAATCAAAGGCAAGATAGGATGCATAGCCGACACTGTGTCTGTCAATTATTCCATCCATTGTGCCCATTGCAGCCTAAATATTAAACAAATATATAAGATTAGAAACAAATTAGCATACACTGTAATTCCTGCACATAGGAAAGGAGCAGCGGCATCAAGAGGTAGGTTGTCTGGAATTCGAACTACGAAGTGTTCATCTGCCACCATAATGTCTGAGAAGCCTCCTTATGTGGTGGTTCCATCATAGTATTTGGCAGCATAAGTGAATATCATTTCTGGGCAGTAATTTTCATGATTGTTGCTGCAACTGTCGCAAGAATGGCATGATCCAACCATGCAACCCATCCCCACTTTAACTCCAACTTTGTACTTTTCAACTTTGCTCCCTACGTTTGTCACTTGTCCAACAATCTCATGCCTGCATTGCCAATTTAATCCTCTCTCTATAATATATATATATATATATTATGTTCATGTGTTACTCCTGCCGTGTGTACTTACCCAGGGACAACAGGGTACTCAGAGATACCCCAGTCATTTTTGGACATATGAAGGTCTGAGTGACATATTCCACAAAACAGCACCTTGAATTTCACATCCTTCTCTCCCGTTGCCCTGCAAGAGGAATTTTTTCTTAACTATGCAATGGAAAATAGTTATGATGACAGAGAAAAAAGGAAAAGTAAAGAAAATAACAAAATTTATGCTGCAGTTACGAAGATAGAGAAGAGAGAGGGAACCTCCTAGAGAATTTGAAAGGAGAGGACCCCAGATTGGTCTCTAGCTGCCCATCCAACAGCCTTACTAGGATGCTCTTCCTCGT